ATATAAACTTACTGACCCCAAACTTTTGAACGGCAGTGTAAACACACATTAAATTGGATTTTTTATTTTTTATAATTCACAGCCATACAAACGTATCCTCATGCACCTGGACTAAAGACAAATGTGGTTCAGAAGTAAACATCTATAAAACTAAATGAAAGGGTGCACAACTCCACCAGTTACCTTAACTTAAGGAAAGAGAGCAGGAGGAATGGAGATAAGTACTTCAACAGGTTGGCATGCTGCCTCTGTGGCTTCCAATTCCCCCAGTCTCTTCCAGCAGAGCTTCTCCCTTCCAACAGCAACTTGCGCTAAAACATTAATACTCTCTGACTTTTGTTTCAAATGGAAAACAAATAAGGGACTGCGGCTTCTCTCAAAGCAGCAGTTCTTCAAAGTCAAGATTTATGGTGTGGTTCAGAAAGCTCTGTGGTGAGAACTTTCAGATTGAATTTAGAAAACGACACTTTTCTACACTGACTTATGAAGCTTTTACACAAACATGGCGGTCTTGAAAAGTTGAATGAATGAATCAAAGAAAGAAGCGTCTGGCACAAAAAGACAAAAAAAAGCCATCTTCTTTTAGCCTGGAAATACCTTCAATGGAGCAAACAAAGGCAGTATATTCACATTACAGTCAAGCTACTTGAACTTGACACCTCGGCTAATTGTTACCGTAGCCTGGGGAGAAAAGCTATGCAGTGTGAGATTCAGCGCAGCGTAAAGTGCCTTTGCAATCTGAGAGCTAATGATGGGACAATGTCTTATAGACACTCACTCTCTCTCTAATATGCACTAGTGTACCAAACATCAACCTTGTTAGATAGGCAGGGGTAATAGTTTCCATTAGGTAGGCTGATAGCAAACGTCTGCTGCAAGCAAGAAGTGATTTAACACACACTCTTAGGCACGTACTACTTTAATTTCTCCGTTTAACGGGAGCGATTTAACGGATGCTGCTTACGCCAATTAGAATGCATCCGGAAGCTCGGCATGTGGGAACTGTTGATGCAAGCACTCTCTGTGGGCCTTTGTAGCTCTCTATAGCCTGGTTGCTTTATGCTTTTCGCTCTAGTTGTCATGTGAATGGAAGCGAAAGCATCCATAACATGAGACATCACAAGGACTTTTACTCGCAACTAAGTCAAGACAAGAGGATTTGCTCTTTTTCTACTAAAGTAACAAACAAAGGTGTATTACATCTCTAAGATTGACAAATGAGGAGACAAAGATTAAACAGACAATCAGAGAGAGACAGAAAGGGAGACATGGCACAAAAGAAACCTTATTTGCATGGTCATTGGAGAAGCCAGGCTCTAGAGAGGAAGAGATTCATTTCTCCTTTAGGGTTATTCATGTGCTCAAGTACCGGAATCGCACCACTTAAAAGGAAAAGAGATTGAGTTTTCCAATAGTATGGCACACAGGAGGATCCTGTGCGTGGGGGTGAACACATTGTCCTTGTTCTGTCAGTAGTAAACCTAGTGCAGGTCAGGACCGTTTGAGGCAATGTGTCACAAAGATTTCACCAGACAGCACCAAATCTCACCTTTAAAGGGGTCATATGATGTTGCTAAAAAGAACATTATTTGGTGTAATGAAATGTGTTTATGCAGTTTTAAGATAAAAAAAACACATTATTTTCCACATACTGTACATTATTGTTGCTCCTCTATGCCCCACCTTTCTGAAACGCGTCGATTTTTACAAAGCTCATCGTTCTGAAAAGCGAGATGTGCACTGATTGGCCAGCTATCCAGTGCGTTGTGATTGGCCGGATTCCTCAAGTGTGTGACGGAAATGTTACGCCCCTTACCATACTGTGATGCCGTGTCCCGGAGAGACAAAAACATTAAAACCCATTATAAACGAGGCATTTGTTGCATTACGGATTATAATGACTTATAATGTCATTTTACGCGTTGCGTTTCATCGCGCCGCGTAAACATAAAACCATATCTGCATTTGTGATCGG